CTCTCTCTCTCTCTCTCTCTCTCTCTCTGGAAGCTGCAGACTCTGGTGTATTGTCCTGGTGCAGAGCAGGAGTAAAGTAAATCTGATCTGGAAGCAGCCTGAGTGATGAAGTTGTTTAAGTTCACATGTGCGGTCATTACCAGGGGCCTGTTCATCCTCGTCTCTCTGACCGGAGTCTGGAGGGTGACTTCGGTGAAAAAAGATCCGAACTACTGGCTCCTGACTTTCCTCTTTCTGCCGCTCGTCCTGGAAATGATCATCACCCTGAGTAGGCGGAAGGGAGAAGACTACAAATGGTGAGAGTTTGTAAATGTGTTGTGGTATTTGAATTAACAGCAGCTTGTACTTTGAGGATGCATGAATAGATGTAATGTATTAATACCCTCAGCCCCCCCACCTCCCACTCTGTGGAGACCCTGCATCCTGCTCGTCCCTCTGCTTCTATTGTCTCACCTCCCCCGGGACACTGAGGAGGGGTCATGCCCCTTAAGTTTTATTCTTGGAAGTCCACTTTACCAAACTGTCTTAAATGGACTTCTGTATACAAATGTCCTCTATTTAATTTCCTTAACACATACCTGACATTTATTTTGTAGTCTTTGATTGTAATTTCAATATAATATAAAATAAAAATAAACCGTGCAATGCAGCATGTTGAACTGTACATTTGAGAAGCACACGCCCATTCATGAAACATTTACAACAAACAGATGTTTGTATAGGAGCATTTTGAGGTTTTAAATTGAAAGCAATGAAATATGAAGCTGTTTGACTATGAATAATAAAGTTAATTTAATAAAAAAGATATTTGCTGATATACTCTGTGTAGGAAAGTAAAAGTGAGAACTAATGAAGAAAATGCACTTAGTTGAATTCAACCACTGCTCATCTCAATTTTAAGTTGACTTGTTTTGTCACAACTACAAAACCCAAATATATTTCATCTACCAAGCAGGAAAGCTTCAACACTTCCTCATTTATCAAAGATGTTGCATATTCCTTTTCGATCATTCATTCCTGGTGTCTATTTGAAGTTTTGTTGGTTCTGCTGGTTGTCTTGCAGGTTCTCTCCTCCGATCTTTCTGTTTCTCATCAGTATCATTCCATCCATCTGGCTCCTGGAGCTCCACCAACAGAACACAGCCAGTGAAACTCAGGTTCTCTACAACAGAAACAAAAACCTCCTAGTCAGAGTGTAACACTTCCAAACTTTATCTTATAACAGATGTTGGCGAGCGCTAAGGTTACAAAACTCTTGGTCTTTGCACATAAAGCTGCAGTTAGAAATGTATTCATTTATTGATTCTTAATTTAAAATTATTAGCTGTACAGAGAAAAAAGTATGAGCAGTTTCTTCGTTTGTCTCTTTCCAGTGCAAAGACTCATTCATGAGGAACTTGACCTTTCAAAACTTCACAAGCCAGAACTACCTGAAGGTAAAAGAAACAATATTTTAGTATATTCTCTGTTATGAAACACCTGCAAAGAACAGAAAATTAAACAAATGATTCAGGGTTTTTTTTCTCACACTGAATTTCTTGGAAACCTCTTACACTGCAAATTGGAGATATAGGGTACTGAAACCAATCAAACGCTCTGAGAAACAGTTACAGAATAGAACACATTTCTCGAGAAAATCTGTCATCTGTCATCCTTTCAATGTCATGTCATCACCTCGAGGCTGCCGGCATTCAGACTCCAGGAAGTCCATGCCCCTGGTACAGAAATAATCCTGCATGTAACCTCCCATAAAAAAAACACATTGACATTATACTATATCTCTTGGCTTTTCATGGCTTTAACAAACAATATTTAAAGTGAAGTGTCATTTAGTGGAATCTACAGATGCTGGAATGTGAATTTGCTTGTAAATCTTTGGACAAACGTAGGTTCTGTCTTTCCTCTGTTTCCAGTCCAGTTTGCCACTAAAAGCCTTGTGCCCGAACGTGTCCCCACAGAGATGACCCAACCACTAAAAGGGCAAACAACATCTGCTTATTATGACATGTATGTAGTAAGGATTGTGAGAATTAAAAAGCTGAAATGTGGTGGACACAACCTCCAAAAACTGGTTGCATGCTGTGACCCTTTATTGAGTTTGAGCTGAAAAAATAAAGTTGTGCAACATAATGAAGTCATTAAAGGATATATGAGATAATACTCAAGAACTGTGTGTTGATGTAACTATAGCTGCTTTCACTCATGAAATTGAACTCCGGAGGATCTCCAGACATTAATCAGAAAACGCGAATGTCCCAAGATTCTGCAGAGTTTCTCCAACCAGTTCCCCCGGTACAAACTGCAGAGGGAGACCTCCGCATGATTAGCTGCAAACAAGTGGGAGTGTTAATGATGTTTCTAATACGCAACAGAGCAACGCAGGTATCGACGTGCTGTTAACAAAAACATGTGATCACAGCAGGGTATTTCCAGTGATATGTTATATCCCGCATCTGTCTGCTGCTCCAGAGATTTCTGTTTTTTTTTTGTGAATGTGTCTGAGCAGAGAATCTACTGCTGTCGTGTGAAAGGTGGAGGCAAACTTTGGAGATCATGTCTGATAACAGCTCATGTTATGTCTCTGTGCCATGGGAAAAAGGGTCAACAAAGAAATAACTGAATGCCTCTTTTACCTGCACAGATTCTCAAAGAGGAGTTATCAACTTTCTGTCCCAACAAATGGATCCTGGCTCTCCATCAGATCCTGCTCATCCTCCTGATCGTCGGAAAGTGGTTGCTCCCCCTGGGGGGCGGAGTTACCCGCGACGAGCTCTCGCAGCTTCTCCTAATCTTCATTGGCACGGCGGCAGACACCCTTGAGTTTACTAGTGAGACGCTGTCAGATGTCAAGTGGGTGGCCAATCTTACTGTTTGTAATTCACAAATGTGTTTCATAGTTTTATGGACGCACACACACACCCTGTGCTGCAAAGTTTACTGAAACTACTAACTTTTACGTTTCCGTGTGTAGAGAGAAGAGCCCCATGATGGTCTATATTATTTTAGGTGTATGGACTTGGAGCATGTTGCAGTTCCCCTTACATTTGGCCGGTGAGTGCTTCATTCTGTTAATCCAATAACTCCGGTGTGTGTTACAGCTGAGTATTGTTGTACACATCACATCCCCAGTGTGGGATAATCTCAACAACTTGTTTATCAATTGGCAAAACATCCCAAAAAGTCAACTGTGTCCACACCAGTGCTGTAAGTAAACACTTAGAGTTAGTTGAGCTGAAATCAATCGCTTTTCTTTCTGGCAATGTCAAATCATTAACAACTGAAGAATCTGTTCTTATTTCCCCAGCTTTGAATAAACCACAAGAGTCCTATCAGAGACATGGGGAGGTCCCTACTTTCTGTCCTGTAGTTCTGAAAACAGAAATGGGAAACAGGAGAGGCCGGGAGACTCCAGTAGTTTTGTATAAATGCAGAAAGTCTAAATAACGAAGTCCATTTCTTATCTTTGGCGGATTACAGGAAATGATTATCAGTTAAATGCTCAAAAACAGTTGGTAATTGAGCAGAACAAAGAATTTAAGTATTTTCTGTTGAAACAAGGGTTTCATGAGAGAAAGCAAATAATTTGTGCTGTCTGATCAGAAACATCACAACTTTGTTCTCGGAAAAGACAACTTGCACTAATGATCTCAATAATTGATAACCTGGATTTGAATAATTCACAAATAGATGTTGAGGTTCTTAACTATGAGTCTACTTTCATAATGCACAGAGCACTTAGTGTTTGAATGCACACTGCAGTTTAGAAAAGAAGCTACCCTTCCTTTCATTGTGTTATGTGAAGACCAGTGGACTGACGACGGTTAGAGGAATATTTCTTTCAGGGTTAAAGGAATGGGATTTGAGCAGGGGATGGGGCCCAGCTTGGGCTGAGCCAAGCAAAGTGTCCTGGGAGAAGGAAGCTGAGTCGAGCGGGGTCCAGGAGCAGAGGCTGACAGGGTGAAGGGCTGGAGACGGGTGAAGAGGAAGAGGAGAGCAAGTTATGCTAGGGTTCAAGCAAAAAGAAAATACATTTTGCGTTTTAGTAAAAGTCTCGATCACAGGATGTGATTCAGCAGGAAGACTGCTCCGGCTCCAGCACACACACACACACACACACACACACACAATGGGGGAGAGAGGCTGCAGGCAGGCCAGAGGAGGAGGGCGTGACATGAACAGTGTGTGTTTGTATTTGTGTCTTAATAAGTGGGTGTAAGTCCTTTTGTTAGCCACGTACAGTGTGTTCACATGTTCGAGTTTCATCTCCTTTTCGTCTGAGATCACTCATGACGTGAAGCTTTGGATCCTATCACATGGTCTTCATTAGTTGATGGAGTTGAGCCCTGTTATCACTGAACTGAGATGTTTAAATTAAATGAGCGGAGCATTTAAAGGCTCCTCCCGCCCATTGTTAGCTCAAACATTTACAGTTTGTTCTTGATTCCTGATGAAGATCGTGTGATGTGGCAGAAAGCCAGATACTAAATGGACCTTGTGTTCATTTTGTGCTCTTGAAAGTTCATTCATATTCTGCATGTGGAACAAGAAAACATTTTTAAAATGTGGATAAAATAAGATAAGATAAGCAAAGATAAGATAGGATAAGATAAAATGACCATTATTTTTCAACATACACTTCATGTTATCTTAAAAGCAGTTGTATGAAGCAGCCAAAAATAGCAGGAAAAGCTGGTATGTGCAGTGTAACACATTACTCCCATCAACATCCTTTCTTTTTGTCTCTTATTTTCAAGTGGTGACCTCCAAGTCAGAGGGAGAGGATAGGCAGGGGGTCAAGGAGTCTTCCCTCTGGTCCAAACACAGCAGGGACATGTGGAGCATCATAGAGGCCTTGTTCATTCAGGACGGGCCCTATCTGGTGGTCAGGCTCATAGTCATAATCTACTCCAGAGTCATCCACCAGATGTTGGGTTTCTTCACCATCAAGAACTTCCTGGTGGTCATACTGAACTTGTACAGGTTGACTGTGATATACCAGGACTTCAGGTCCTCCCCCAGCAACAGGGACATCGCTTTCCTGTGAGTCTGCAATGAGATGAGACGGGATCGAGATGTTACAGCCAAAGTCTTGTAGTCACAGTAGACGGGAAAAGGGCCCAGAGTTGAAGATCTAAAGATGTCAAAAGCTGTAAATAATTAACGCTGTTGTGAGCAGAGAACAATTTTCTTACACGTGTGAAGGGCTGAGGTTGTCAAGTTCAAACTCCACACTTGACCGCCTCAGCTTGAAGCTCATACTTCACGTCTTTTACCCCCTGAGTTCTAATGTAGCTGCTTCAACAATTAAAGAAATTACCGGCAGGGGGGCAAGAAAGGAAAAGAGGGAAGCAGAGCATAACAGGAAAAAGAAGTGAGAGATACCCTGATATGATTCAATGTAAACAGATTATGCACATTGCTAAAGCAGCCAGCACAATACAGTTTATGAAAGTAGTCAGTAACAGTCAACGCAGCACTTACAGTAAGTGAAGCCAAACTACTGCTCGGACAAGGACTGGCCAGATTTCTCACTGTGTGAAGCCCAGACAACAGGAAGCGAGGAAGACAGAGAGATATACTCAATGACACTGAGGCTCTCTGGGTGCTGACAGGAACTGAGATTGAAGAACAGTTTTCCTGCCAGGTGACCCATTTGTTTACATTCTGTCTATTTACTTAAGCACTAGATAAATAACAGCCCATAATGCAACACATCGCAGTCCAGATACCATTCAGCGAATTCAGTTTAACACCATGTAACGTTCGCCACACTGTCGAAAAACTGTTTACTTCCCTTCCCACACAGAAATTATGACTCCAACTTTCACTAAACTTTACAAAAATCTTTTTAACTTTTTAGTATTTTTGTACTTATATGTTTGCACTGTGAAGGTATCATTTCATTGTACACCCTGTTCAATGACAAAAAAGGCATTCTTATCCTTATTCTTGAATTCATATAAAACCAAGGCTATAAAGTAATGTAGTGACATGTTTCTGTTTTTATTCCATAATTGAAAATGTTGTGATTACGATTAAACCTCAAACTTGATTGATTGTTTTCCCTGTTACTCCTTCGTGTCTGTACTGAACTCAGAAGATCTGCTTTTCTCCGGTCACTTGAAACTTTCTACAAAGCCCCCTGAATTAACCCTTTGGTAACCCTTGGACAATTTCATTCCATGACTACAAACCATTTTGTTTAGTTTGACTTTTAAATCGTGCTCTGGACCTTCTGACACCATATGTGCCTGGTTGTTATCATAAGTCCTCGGCGAATGCCCGACTGACCATTCCACTGTCCCATCTGAGGACCAAAGGTGACTGGGCCTTTTCTGTCAGGGATCCCACTCTTTGGAACAATGTCCCTGAGGAGATCTGTCTGAAAAGAGTTTATGCTTTTTTAAATCTCTCTGAAAGACTCATTTTTATAGGTGTTCTCATTGTCTTTTTTATAATGTTTTATTTGATCATTTTACTTTTCTCTCAACTGTAACATTTTTATTTCTGTATCTCTGCTCTAATGCTGGCGACCTTCAAATGACTTTTGTTTCTCATTGTTTGCTTCCCACACAGCCCCTTATAACTGTGTTTTGAAAGGCCATTTATAATCAAATGTATTATTCATTATCATTATTTACCACATTTTATTACTTGTTTTATTCGATGTGTTTTTGTGTTTGATTAACTATATTTGTTGAACTACTTTAAAATCATTTTTATTTTAATGTTTTGAATCTTTTAAGTCATTTATATTGTTACTCATTATCACTGTAAATGAGGGTCAGCCCCTTATAATGGTAACTTTGATATTATAAGCCGAGTTGTAAGTCACTGTTTATGTCACAGTCTGCTCTGCTCCTCCCCTGCTCTGCTGCTCAGCCACACCCC